CACAATGCTATAGTTTTATTTAAGGATATTAAGAGGCAGGTACTTGGCTAATTGTATATTAGTCGATAAGGGAAGGTGCTCAGTTCTGGCTCATGCAGGTCCAGTGAGCCAGGGTCCCTTAGTCGATAAGGGAAGTGAGGGAGGGAGGGGGGATGTGAGTAGTCAACTACTCGCTTACATCTCTAGTTTCAGTATCAAACTATTATTGCTAGAAACAAGTGTTATGCACTACTGAAGAAGTGGAGATCCTTGTAGCTCTGGTGTCAGATACTGAGAATTAAAATAGTCACCAGGACCTCTGCCCAGCAATGCTATTTTGACACTGATGCACAAGTTAAAAACAGCACCCAATATGATTTTATACCTAGGAACATTGCAATAGTGAGTTAAGGGATACTGGAACAGAAATTTCACGCAAATTAACTGCAGTTAAAAGATGCTTACCATTTTGAATCTGTGCCACTTTCTTGGAAATTTCTCCAATAATCTATTTAGATTAAGACAATTATGCATAAATTAGTTTTTCTTGATGAATCAGAAGTCAGGTTACTTTCAACTGTCAAATCATTCTACATGCTTAAGAGAACTATTTTGAAATATCAATAAGGTGTTAAAGTTTTATTTGGGCACTAACATGATTTATAATGACTGAAGTTCTAAAGAAACAGCTGTAGTGGAAAATGTGTCATCCATGACTTTTTTGTATTGGCATCTACACCTTTCTTCCAACAATAACCTGTAGTGTATTCTTTAACTTTCTGGTCATTAAGTTTAAAATATGACTCGCTATTTTAGCTCAGACCCCAGTCAATCCTCAATGTAACTGTTTACACAAAAGCTAAGGAAAATAATTCTAGCAGTAGAGAAATATTAGACTTAGTTCAGTGTTCAGTACAATTTACATTGCATAAATACTTAGCTAAAATTATGCATAATTCCATTATTTGATTATTTATCAGTACATCCTTTACAGCAGTGGTGCTCAACCTTTTTTAATTCACGACCCCCTAGGGCCGGGAAACTGTTTTTGAGCAAAAGCAAGAGGAAAACAGCAGCAGCACATTTTGTTGTGGTCCCTTTAATTTAAAGTGCCAGTCTCCCCCCCTGCCACTCCCCCGGCATGTACGTCAGGCGCCGAGCTGAGAAAACAAAATGGTGGCCGGACCAGCGCTGCATCCCCTGAGGAAGACAGCCACGACCCCCGGGTTGCGCACCCCTGCTTTAGAGAATTAGAAAAGCCTGATGGTCACTGTCTATATACAGCAATGCATACCTGACGCCTCCATTTCTCAGCTTTAGGTAACTCATTACATTCTGATGCAAGAAAAGGTCTTCGTTCCTATTTGAGAGAAAGACATGAACATGTAATGAAGTGATGAGGAACCTTTTTTGGGTCCGGGGCAGCCGACCCACAGAAAAATCAGTCGGGGCTACACATAAACGAGAAGCAAAAAAACAAATAAACACTCATGGATGTGGCCCCCAACTGAGAAGGAAAAAGACACCCCCCCCCCCACATTCCCCTTGCACACCAGAGCCTAGGTGGGCCCAAGCTAGTAGATTTTGTGTGCTCCAGCCAACAGCAGGGGGTGGGTTGGGGGAGAATGGGCTGTAGCACCAGTGCAAACTCCCCAAGGCTGGGGGGTAGCCCTGAGCCTTGGGGGCCAAATCCAGGCAAGCCAGCGGCCGCATCCCCGTCTTAGGTTCCCCACCCCTGATGTAAAGCTTCAAACCATCCAATACTGAAGCTTGACATGTTCCAAAACAACGGATGTTTTATGTTCTGAGGGTAAAATGGCCAGGTTGTTGCTTGATTAGCCCCAGGCAAATCAGCTACTCGTGTCTCCTTATTCAAGTTTTGTCTGTTTCCACCCCATTTTTAAACATTTAACATTACAGCCCTGAAGAAAAAGTTTATTGAACACAGCCACCAATTCTAGCCCAGCATGTATAAAATAGTGCCTGTTATCTTTTGATTCAAACCCTTTCCCATCATTCTCCAGACCCTGTTCTCTCTATTTTCAATCACTTAGCAATGGTCCAGTGTGGTTCAAGTGTAGCATCCCTTTTGACTCCTCTGCTCACACTGGTAGATTTCATTACTTCTCTCTACATCTCCACATCCAATTGCTGCTGATAGTCTAGTCCATCCTCTAGTTTTCTGCATTAACAACTGCAGCTTCCACTTTTGACTTTTCATCCTTCTGAAAAAGTAATTTTCCTTTTCTGCCACCTTTGTTTATATCATTTCACTGACTTTTGTTATTCCATACATATGTTCATAGCATTCCTCACCTTCAGGTCTTCCTACTTACATATTTGCCACTATCACTCCTCCTACTCTTACCCTCCCCTCCCATGTCTTACTTTCATATTATGCCACATTTGTGTTTTATGTCTCCCTTATGTTTGGAACAGCCTCCCCAAACACACATCAGCACTTTAGCTGGGAAACTCCCGAAAGAACCCCTGTTCTGAGCTTTATTTGCAACTGCACTGTTTTCTACTGCATTGTTCTATATTGTTCTTCAGTTCTTGGGGAAAAAGATGCAAAATATATAACATCAGAACAAAGCTCTTTGGTAGGTTGTTAGTGTCCTCCTGACAAAAATTTCTCCCAACAAGAAATTCTTCCTTATTCTGAGATCCAAAACCTTCCAATGCCCTGATCCTGCAATTCACTTGAAGAGGGTGGAGTCCTGCACCCACAGAGAACTCCAATGCAGTCAATGCATGACTCCACCTGTGCAGTCAGTTATCAATCAGGGCTTAGATTACAGGTTCTGTTTTAGTTTCAGGATATAATCTTTTAATCAATGATTTCACACCATATAAAGTCACTAAAATAAAATATTTTTCAAGTCATGTGCCAATCTAACTTGATCTGGAGGTTAAAAGTTTCTCCTAATGTGCATGGTTAAATTTAAGCAGAGATATTATATAAGACACCACATGGCTGAACAACAGCACAGCATGCTGTGTCATGTGCAAGCCCCGAGTTTGGAGTATCCCAGAAAACGGTATACTTAGTGGTGGCTACTTTGATAGTACAATACTAGGGAAGTGAAAAGATTATGAAAAGGATTTTTCTAGCTTTCCTGGGCTGACTGGGATAGAAGCCAAAGAAAGCCCATGATCAAAACCAATGACATGAATGAATGTACAGCCAGTTAGCAGAAGGAAACTTCTATCACTGCATTTATATTTTTAGAATTGCCTTCTGAATTACCTTGATTGTATCTCCCTATTATACTTCTAGTATCAAAGTATATCGCTTCTAACGTGAAATGCCAACTTGGCTTTGGCCATATGGCCAATCTACAGTATTAGAAGTTGTTTTAAATACGATCCACGTCTCTAGCACAGTTTTTTTTCCAGCCCGTCTCCAGCAATAACTCTGGGTTTTGCTACCATACTGTCTTGCAAAACATCTCCCACTGTAAGCCCCTTTCCTAGTGATGGCCACCTAGCCCTCACGTAGCAGTTATACGTGTCACATACCCTCTGCTCACAGCTGAAGCAGAACTGCATGAGGTTTTGCATTAGGTGCTGAGAGGGAAGGACTAATTTGCTGGTGATTCTTTTAAAATATCATAAAAGACTTTTTTCTCCAACCTACCTTAACTTTTCCTTCCTCAAGCTGAGCCTGGCGAAATCTTGCCAAGGCCGTCCTGAAAGGAAAAAAGGAAATTACTGTAGTTTACTTTTGAATCTCTTCATTCCAATATTATTGTTATATATTTTTAAAAGAAAAGGATAGCTACTGTTTCCATTCCAACACTGAAGAAACCACCAGTCAAAGTGGTCAACACCAGTTACTAACTAGTGAAGTCACTCAATCAAGAATTTTGTGCAGCTTAATATTAGCAGTACCAACAGCCAGCTAGAGGGGCAGGGAGACAAGGATAACAAGCTTGTGCATTTTAAAGAAATTTTTAATAATATTTCTCACAACAACTCAGGTCGACTCCATTGATGTGGCTGATTAATGTACATAACTTGTTTATTTTTAAAAACAGGTATGTCAAAAATTTCTTCTAGTATCTCTTCCAACACCACTACTCAGGGTTTCTTCAGAAACCCATCCCTCCATTGTCCCCGAGAACAAAGTGACTATGCTCCTCACTCTTCCCAAGGTTACTTCAAAATAGTGCTCCTCCAATGAGCTAATAAGCACAGGGGTAGACGATATAAATGGGATAATGTTGCAGTGCTTCCGTTGTGGGATTGAGGGACTGAATCAAGCCTTGGCTGCATGGCAGTGTAACTCCAGCCTACTTCTACACTAGTTTCCCCTGTAAATTAAAAAACCAAGAACAAAACTCTTTCCTCACTTTTGCAGTGAGCTAAGAAACACTCACATGACAAGGTACTTTGCAACACTAAAAACAGAATAAAGTGTGCTGCTCAAATTGACACACCTCATTGATAGATAACACATTAGCACCTAGATTAACACGTCTCCAACGCACAGTTAGCAATTCTGTAAAATTCATGCTTATCTGTCAAGTTGTCTTCAACATTATAAGAAGCATAGGTACCATGATAATCAGGACTTGCCGAACCGCAGCGAGCCCCGCTCGCCAGCCGCGCTGTCCAGTGAACTATGCATGCGCAGATCATTCGGTGCATGTGCAGATCGCCCGAACCCGGCTCTTCCGGGATACAATCTACTCGCCACAGGCGAGTAGATTGTATTATTTGTTGAGCCCTGATGATAATTCAAGCAAGGGTTCACCTCATGAATAGGGACGGGAATGTTTAACTGGTTAACCCGGTAAGTCTTAACTAGGTATATTAACGTCCTTGTGCATACACAGTTAACTGATAAGCCTGGGCTCATCAGTTAACCTGCACAGTTACACGCCCCTACCCCACTGCCTCTGACTCAGTGACAGAAAGAGGGGAGGGGAGGGAATTGGGAGCTGGTGCATGCAGGGAGCTGACTTTTAAGCTGGCTCCCCATTTGTGCTGGCTTCCACAGGGGAGGCCCCCTCACCCTGCTGCCTCTGACAGGTGGGAGCCGGTACATGTGGGCACCCAGTTTTGCCCCCCCCCCCCCCCTGCCACAGAGGCAGCAGTCAGCTGGTGGCAGGTGAGAGCCTCTGATAGAGAAGCAGCAGCTTGAAAACCGGCTTCCCCTTGAGTACTGGCTCCCTCAAAGGTGGCCACTCCAGCCAGACCACAGTGCCCCACTCACTTGCCCCATTTAATAGGTTAACCTCATGTGTAGTGGGTAATGTAGACAAGGGAAACTGTCTCCACTGGCCAGCAGCCTGGGAGGGACTGGGTCTGCGCCACGCGGCTCCTCAGTGGCCAGGAAAGGCTGAGGCCATGCTGCGTGGCAGTCCTGGCCCTCAGCTGGGGTTGGGCAAGGCTTGGCTGGGGAAGAGGGGGTAGGGTTGCCAAGTGTCCAGTATTGGCCTGGACAGTCCGGTATTTGTGGCCTCTGTCCAGTAAAAGACCAAAATACCAGACATATAAAATGTCTGGTATTTTCTGTTTTTTCTTGGACAGAAGGCCGCTTGGGACGGTCTTCCCCTGCTGCATCTGGTGGGGGCAGTGTGGGGATTTAAAGGCATAGTGACTTTTTTTGGTGTGGCTGTTCTTCCTCAACAAGTTTTCCCCACCCCTGCCTTTTTTTTTGGCTCAACCAATTTCCTGCAATATTTACTATTTTTGTTAAAGTATCTGGCAACCCTAAAGGGGGGGTGTTACAGGTCCTGATTTATTTGGTCCCGCAACTCATTAGTTTATGACGTCTGGTGTGCCCCGACTGCTTTGGGGCGCACTCTACCCCTTGTCAATTGCAAGACTCACAAGGAGCAGGTCTTTGCCTTGTTAAGTCACATTACAAACACCTGCCGGTGGCAGGGAAGGGGGTCCGGGCCCACCAACTCTTGCAGACCCCGGCCCAGGGCCCTGACACTGGGAACCACGCTCCCAGTGGTAGTAGGGAGGGGCGTACCCCTAAACGCGCCCACTCTCGGGCTCCACGACCCAACCCTGGGCCAACATTCAACCCTGCCACTGGGCTCCCCCTTCCTCAAAGAAAACCCTTACCCCTCCTCCATTCCCCTGGACTCCGTACCTACTCCGCGTTCACCTCCCCCCCGTCGTCCCTCACTCTCAGCGGGTCTCCTCCTTCTCTTGGCGCCCGTCACACCGGCGATGTCATCCCTTGTGCTTGGCGCGCCAGTGATGTCCCCCCTGGTGCCAGTAACATCCCCCCGCAGCGCCCCTGTCCCCTCGTGGTGAATAGTGGCGGGGCTGACCCACCTCATGGTCTCAGGGAAGCGAGGTGGCTATTGGCAGAAGGGGGCGTGGCTTAAGCTACCTTCCACCACTGCCCATGGGGTCATGCACCAAAATACATATCTGAAAGATTCACCTGCCCACATACACCCACATGCACTGCAACTGTGAAACAATAAGTACTTAATTTAGACTGTAAGCAGGAGCTGGAAGAGCTGTACATGCACCGTGAGAGACATGTTGAATGACAATGCAACCAAGCTCAGAGCTGTACTTACATAGCCTTTTCTGCATTTCGAGCCTAAAATGAGAGAGAAACAGCTTAACACAATGGTTTTCAAACTTTTTTTTCATGACCCAGTTGAAGATAATTATTGATGCCCATGACCCAACATAATTTGATTAGAGCAGTGGTCACCAACCAGTCGATCAGGATCTACCGGTAGATCTTAAGAGTCTCTGACAAGGGATCCTGACTGGTTTGGCCAGGAGGCTGTCAAGTGCTGGCACTTCAGTTGCCCCTCCACCCATCCTCATGCTACTCCTGCCCTCTGCCTTGGAACTGCCCCTTAGGAGCCTCCTGCTTGCTGTGTAGGGTGTGGGAGGGAGAGGAGGGGGGTGGTGGTGCTGATGTCAGGGTGTCCCTTGTCCCCCCCACTCCTGTATCCCATCTCCACACAGAGAGAAGGGGATGAAGGGAGCTAGGCAATGCAAATCTCTGTCACATTCACACAGTGTGTGTGTGTGTCTGTCACTCTCACAAACACATACTGTCCTTCCTTCTCATCTCTGGACCTGTCACATACATGGGGGGTTGTTACTACTTTTACTGCTTGCAAGGTGGGTTAGTTTTAGTTTTTGACTGGTCTGTGCATTTCATAACTTTCATTTCTCTTTTACACTTACATTTAATTCTTTGAGTAGTGAGTTCTAAAATGCCGAACCTGTTGTGTCTGGAGTCATTATCCCTGTGGTAATTGTGCTTCTGGAGGTGACTGACACATCCCTGCAGCCCGAGAGTCATAGCATGAGGTTTGCAGGGGGTCTCCACATGCTGCCCTTGCTTGCAGATACCACTCCTGCAGCTCCCATTGGTCAATGGAGAACTGTGGTGCCAGTGCTGGTAGATGAGGGGCAGCACACAGAGCCATGGCTGTACAGGCAGTCCCCGGGTTACGTACAAGATAGGGACTGTAGGTTTGTTCTTAAGTTGAATCTGTATGTAAGTCGGAACTGGCGTCCAGATTCAGCCGCTGCTGAAACCTGTCACATACATGGGGGGTTGTTACTACTTTTACTGCTTGCAAGGTGGGTTAGTTTTAGTTTTTTACTTGTCTGTGCATTTCATAACTTTCATTTCTCTTTTACACTTACATTTAATTCTTTGAGTAGTGAGTTCTAAAATGCCAAACCTGTTGTGTCTGGAGTCATTATCCCTGTGGTAATTGTGCTTCTGGAGGTGACTGACACATCCCTGCAGCCCCTGAGAACCAGAGCACAGGGCTTGCAGGGGGTCTCCACATGCTGCCCTTGCTTGCAGATACCACTCCCGCAGCTCCCATTGGTCAATGGAGAACTGTGGCGCCAGTGCTGGTAGATGAGGGGCAGCACACAGAGCCATGGCTGTACAGGCAGTCCCCGGGTTACGTACAAGATAGGGACTGTAGGTTTGTTCTTAAGTTGAATCTGTATGTAAGTCGGAACTGGAGAAGGGAAGGTGGCACCACCGTGGCACTCCCTTGGTTCACTCCAGACCACCCTACTTTCACTATGTCCCTTATCCTGCCTTCCTATGCTGGAGCCAGTTCCATTGCTGAGGCAGCCTGGGGGCTCCCAGCATAGTTGGGCCTTGAACCCAGCACCCTGAGCTACCTAGGCTATTACCCTCAGTCCTAAGCGGGTCCAGAACCAACCCCCCCCCCCCTCCCCTCCCGCCTCCTTGGTTCACTCCAGACCACCCTACTTTCACTATGTCCCTTATCCTGCCTTCCTATGCTGGAGCCAGTTCCATTGCTGAGGCAGCCTGGGGGCTCCCAGCATAGTTGGGCCTTGAACCCAGCACCCTGAGCTACCTAGGCTATTACCCTCAGTCCTAAGCGGGTCCAGAACCAACCCCCCCCCCCCTCCCCTCCCGCCTTCCCC